GATATTATTGTGACAACTCTGACAATATGATATCACGATATTTCGGGTTATTCTTACATTCCCATCTAAAACTAGTGGTGAAACTAAATATTCATTTGAAGTATTACTACTAAAAAAAGTATAAGACTACTAGATACCCATGGACCACTATGAAACCTACCTGAGGGATAATACAGATTTAGGGTCACATTGCAATATAAAAGATAGTACTATGATTAAACATTTAAACATTCTATTGTCTAAATAAAGACTGATTTTCATTATCATTGTGGTATTGGGATTGGTAATGAGCACCAATTCTATTCCTCAGTATCAAAAAAGACTTTGAAATTTTATTACCCAGGACAGCTGTAGACGAAGACTAAATAAGCATTGTACCAGTGAAAAAAAAAAAAAAAAAGATCTGCAGGCTGTGTAATTTCAGAGCCTTCATGGGTGCATTTCACTGGGTTATGCTTCCATGTAGTCTCCCCCCCCCCCCCCACAGTGGTCCCCTGTGTCTGAGACCACCACAGAACTCAGCTCCTCAGACTCCCACTCACAGCAGGAAGCATTGTTCCCCGTGAAGAAGTAATAAGAAATCTTGGGTGAATCATCGAGTATTTTTGGTCCAAACTGGCAGCATGACATTAATTCTGCGAGCATACTGAGGGACAGAAATAAGCATTTGTCCTTTTATCAACAAACTGCTCCAAAAATGACAAATCAGGAATAAAGTTATGACCAGTCCTACGCTGAAGAATTACAGTGATCTGTGACTAAATCTGGTACAATGATCATTAATGTACAGTGTCCTACACCTGGGACCAAACCGGGGACCAAAGCAGGAAGGAAGCTAGGACTAAACCTGAGATTGAAACAGGACTAAAGGAGACTAAAGCAGGGACTGAACTGAAGCTAGGGCTGAACCTAGGGCTGAACCTAGGGCTGAACCTAGGACTGAACCTAGGACTGAACCTAGGACTGAACCTAGGACTGAACCTAGGACTGAACCCGAGACTGAGCCCGAGACTGAGCCCGAGACTGAGCCCGAGACTGAGCCCGAGACTGAGCCCGAGACTGAGCCCGAGACTGAACCAGGACTGAACCAGGACTGAACCAGGACTAAAGCAGGAGCCCTAAAATGATGGCATGTGTCTACATTACAGAAGAAACACCCTGCCATCACAATTTGTTATTTTTCTATATTAAATGTGAAACTATTTTATTTAAGTTTCAAACAGATCAAAATCTTCCTGCTCTCCTGTAAGTAGTGCAATGATTAAACGGCAGTCTGTTTTCCACCCGTACCTGTCATAGTAGTGTTTTCCTCATTAAAAATAACAAGATTTTTGAATATATTACCCACAAATATGAGTCATTAAAATTATGTAAATGAGTAATTAAAATGTGTTGAAGCAGTATGTCAGCACCTTGGAGAAAGTACGGGGAGTTTGTAATTAGAGACACCAGTTTTACCTGTAGGTTGGAGACAGGAAGTAACACAAAGCTATAGACTAATAATTAGTGTCACGCTGCCTTCAGGTAACATGTACAGCTCAAAAATAAACTTTCCCACATGGAGAAATACAAATATTGTGAATTTTCAGCCATGTACAGGGCAGTAAAAGGGGTGGTGGGACAAAGGGGTCTGTTGTCCCGAGCCCCAGGGTTTTAGTCTGTTTACCATTAATTCATATTAGAGGGGGGTCAGTCTTGTCCCGGGCCCCCAAATTTCTATTGATGGGTCTGGCCATGTAGAAAATAAAAAAGGTACTAAAAGCAATTTGCAAAATATTGAAGTATGGATAATGGATGAAAGGCACTAATTTTTTTATTTTTTTTATTTTTTGCCTAGTTCAACATGCTCATTTCCATGGAAATTAGGAATGATTGTTTGATTGTTTGTCGATTAATCGGTTAATGGCGTTGCGATGTTATGATATTGCTTTGTCACAAATACTGCCCATGACATTATAGTATGACAAGCTGAACTACCCACTTTACTGGACAGTAAAGATCATTATATTTAAGATTTTACAAAACATTTTACACTTTCTTTTCCAATTTGGCCATTTTTAGGTTTCGGTTTTGACTTCTTGGTTAGAAATTATGACATCACATTAGGGAATTCCATAACTATTACCAACCAACTGTATTGTACACCGACCCAAAACGTCTCTAATATACACAGAGATTATAAACTGGGAAATAAAAATAAATATAAGTGATGAATTTGTTTTCTTCTAAGTATCCAAAAAATGTGTTTGTGTGAAAATGGTGCATAACTTTTGGACAGAATTCTCCCTAAATTGACATTATCTCTAAAATAGAACTCTTCACATCCTGTAATTTTCAACATAATTTTTACTTTTCTTCACAAACCGCATCTTAATCGGCGTAAAACTATAATTTAGATTTACAAGAAGGGTTATCCCACAAGGTTAAGTGAAAATTTTTGACTCATAAAAATCTGTCATATGCACTTTACACATATCTACCTCCAAGGATTATGTTACCAATTATGCTTTTATCTGAATGGAGTCATGCAGGTACCAGAAATCTTGTGGTTTAAATTGACATCAAAACGTTATTTTAATTTAAATGGCTGCAAATGGAATATTAAAAAATCTGCTCTTATTATAATGACGAGGACTTCTGCAGAATATCTGTCTTCATGGGATCCTGCAAAGTAGTAGTTTACACACTTACAAACATGATCAGAAATGCATGTGATTCTATTAGGTAGTAGGGCTGGGAATCATAGGGTCTTTCATGAATTGATACACTGTTCACGTTACGATACTATCACGATATGGTTACACATGTGATACTCAACACTATACTGCCATCGATAGAATGCTGATTTTTAAGAACCAAACCCATTTAACAACAGTATTTCTTTGTTAAACCATTACTTGTGCAAAGTTAATATGAAATACCTCTATTTTAATCATCAAAACAGTGAATATGTCAAGTGTACTGCATAAACAAGTTCATTCCTCTTAATAAGCAACAGAATTGTAGTGCAGTCACAAAAAAAAAAGATACCAAAAAGTACTGTTGGCGATATATCAGTATAGCACCAAGATAACAATACTTTATCACCAAATTTAGTATCAAGATATATCGATATTTCAATATTTTTGCAGCCCCCTATTACAGTTAACGGTATATTCAGTCTTGTCTTTAGCGTGCTTCTAACAAACCCTCAGCTTTAAAACTTTACTGCAGCAGTATTTGTCAGAAATGAGCAACAATATCTTTCTAATACTGTTCAGTTGTAATGCGAGGAGAAAAACAGGCTGAAACATGCGGTTTGAAGTGGGGACTTGAGGACAAGAATGGCGTGAGATTGCATAAACTTCAAAGTGCTACAGACAGGAAGAATTCCACTTTGAGCGCCATGACTCCACTGTGATAATGGAAATCTGAAAATAGTCACAAAGCAGGTTTAGACTTCCCCTGGTAAACAAGCAGCAGTCTCACACATGATCTTGAGACGTGCACAGGCAAAGATATGGGACTGGGAAATGCAACTGAAATGTACAAAGGTTAGTTTGAAACAGCTCGGTAAAATAAATAAATTGATTGCGTTCTATTGAATATGTAAACACTTTTTTTCCAGTAGATTGAAGATGTAAAATCTGTTCCCTCTGCCACCACCTGGCCTCTCCCCCACCATTTTGGCCCCTCCCTCCTCCCTGTACCTGGCCTTTGTTCAGGGTCACTTGTGGTCTCTGGTTTTCTGTCTAATCGTGTGCCAGTTTTGACCTGGCAGAAGAAGTAAGGTAGACACCATCTAATGGTGATATATGTGGATACAACAGAGGTCAGTCAGCCAATCTAATTGCAAATGGTAGCTTTAAAAGTGCATGTACGTTTTCTCATGGGAAGCTATGAGACCTATTTGTGTTCATGGATACATTATTACTTTGCCTAGATCAGGGGTCTCCAACCTTTTCTCTCTGGTGAGCTACCTTTACAAAACAAAAATGCCAGCTGTTAGTTTTAGCAGTCGCAAGAAATTGAGTCAATAAGTAAGTAAGAAAGAGGGCAAGTATTAAATGGGGTACCGATAGATGCGTATAAAACAAACCATTATCTATTTATTTGTGCACAAAGTTAGGCATCAAAATGATACATTTACAATTAGGAGTGTGCAAAAATATCAAAATATCGTATTGTTTAATGTGATGATACAGTATCGATATTGTGGGCTGCTGTATCGATATATCACCAAGAGTATTTTTTGGTAAATTTTACTAAATAATTTAGTTACAGCGCTACAGTTTTGTTGGTTGTTTAGGTCTTATGTGATGCATTTGACATATTCACTATTTTTGAGGATTAAAATGTGTGTGTGCACAAGAAGTGGTTTAACAAAGACTTTTAGTATCACAACCATGATTTAGCTTTTATTTTTTGTTGAACCATATCAAATCGTTTTGAAATATATCTTATCAAGTAAAGCTCACTGTACCAAGGTATGTATCATATGGTCTATGTATCGATGTATGTATCGGCAACTTAATGATACCCAGTGCTATTTACAATACTAATAGGCATTTAATTAATCAAATTGTAGTTATTAGCACAATATGTATAATTCAGAAATCCCTCGACAAGGTACTTGGATGAGGTTGGAGAGCTACTGGTAGCTCCCAAGATACAGGCTGGATGTTCCATAATATAGCATCAAATTTCTTCTTCTTGTATTTATTCAATTACAGTTTAATTTGTTTATTGCTCAAAAATACCTTGACAAACACATTCTTACAGTGATGCATTGTTACACTGAGCAGGTTGCCTCTCCTGACCTGCTTGTCTCCATGGAGATGGGAAAATCTTCATTTTATACAAATGGTTTGAATTCATAACTGTTATAGGATAGCAGTGGATTTGGGTGGAAGTAGTAATTTGAAAACTGGGAATGTATTGTCAAAAGTACCAACAGATAAAATCTTGCTTGTTCCTTTAACCAGAATTGTAATACTTGTAATAGTAAATGTGTTACTTACGATCCAGTCCGTTGATGTAGCGCATAGTGACTTCGCAGTGCCCCCAAACCGCGCTCACGATGGGGTACAGCCTCTTCCCCTTGAGCCCTCTGAACGCCACGCCCAGATACTGTCCATCCACCATAAAGCTTAGAGTGCCTTCGTCCATGTCCAAAATCACTGTGAGCGAATCCGGCAACACAAATGACTCATCTGGCTCCAAAAAACACGGATAAGTAGGAGCCATGGTCGAAGCTGGTCTGTTTTTCCCATCGTGATAAAGTCTATTCCGTCCCAAATCCCAACCCCAAGATTCTGAGTCCGAGCCAACTAAAGCTGTATATCCAACCGAATGGAGCGACGCCTCTGCTGTCGCTACTCCAACTACTGCGTGCGTACCTCGTTGCCTTGCGGGCCAGTTAATTCTCCAAACATGCAAACCTCTTGTAAATCCAACTTTCGCTCTGATACAATCCGTGCTTTGTGCTACGGGGTGTCGATGAAAAGTCAATTTATCATCCTCCTTCACGAAAATATTAAGCGATCGGTCATCTGGGTTCCACGCGTGTTTGAGTTGGATTTCGTGGCTAGCAGGAGGCATGTCCAAGAGTAGGTCCAGTCTAGGCGGTCGGCAGAAATCGGGTCCGCGTAGCTCTCTCCGAACCGGGCGATATGAAGGTTCCCCGCGTACGTCCACGGATTTGATGCTGCCCGAAATCTTCTGTCCCATGGCTGAAGAAGGGAGAGGGGTGAGGAGAGGAGGGGGTGTGGTGGGGTGACGGGCGGAGCTGATGGAGGGACCAGGGGCAGCGATGAGGGGAGCGGGCCCAGTCCGGACGCTACCTCATGGGCACGGAAGCAACACGGGAGCTCCTCTTTGGAACGGGGCGGGAAGCAGAGAGATCGTGGATGAACCTAAAAACAACGAAATGGAAAAGTTAGAGATAACAATTGAGGAATTTAAAAGTAACAGCATGGAAACACAAACAATGACGTGGACAACATTTTTTTGTACTATATTACAGCGTTTTCTGATCTATGTTGCAATGTCATCTCACCAAAACATACCAGGAATTGTGCTTTGTTTTATTTCATTCACAGATGTTGAACTCACAAACCCTGCATATTTAGGCGAAGTTCTTCTCTTAAACAGAAAACACTCCGTCTTTAAGAATTGCACAGGAAATGATCGGACTCCCCTATTCCAGAGTCTTCTTATTTTGCTGTTCACCTGTATTGTTGATTTTTTTGTACTCCATGGAAATATGAAAATCTTCAAGTTTTATACAAATGGTTTGAATGCATAAAAACACAACTATATGGTGTGTATAAGTGGTAGTTTGAAAACTGGTAAACTTGTCAACAATTTTATGTTTAGTTCAGTGGTCATAAAACTCAAAAGTTACATTTGTTTCCATGAGAAAAGTTGGGTCTGATGTAAACAGAATAAAAGTTCTAGTTGCACAAAGTCGTCCATAAGCAGAGAGGAGCAGCAGCTGTTCAGATGGATGGGAGCCGACTGAGAAACTTATGTAACATATTTCCTGCAGATTTAAACTGAACAAGTCCACAAAACTTGGAGCGGATTGAAGCCAAACTTTTTTACAATGCTGAAATAATAAACCTGGGGGTGCATGACAAATAGGAACACTGCCTAAGATATTGGAACTTGCAATGGTGTTTTTTTATTCTAACAAATGAAACACATGCTCAAATAAGAAAAAATAAAACACTAGACTAAAAAGTAAGTAACAAGGCTCTATTTGGATAATGAACATTTAACACCGCAATGATTGTGACAAAATATGGTAAATAAAACCAAACAGCACACTAGTGTTTTCACGATACAAATGTATACACTATGTAGACATTAGAATGTAATTTGCAACATTAAAATGTATTTTATACCATGCTGTCTTTTATCTGTGTATCCCTCAGTCATCCAGGTACTTTCCACAATTGTTCGGGGGTGTATACTAGTCTATGTGAACATGTTCTGATACAGGTCAAAATCATTCTAAAGATATTCAGGAAAGATTTGTTTCTGTCCTGCAAATGTAACTATTTTTAGTATTGATACCCGCTCAAATGAGTATTTAGTTTCGATAAAAAAACAGAAGTAATTGAGTTGAAGTGTGTTTTTCTATGCACTACAATAACATCTGAGCTGAAGAAGGCTAAATTTCTATGACTCATTATAGATGCATAGAAACAACTGAAGTGTTGTGTATGCATGTTTGTATGTTTGTGGATAAATCTGCTTTCGATAGAAAATAAAAGTAATTTTGCAGTGCACATTTTGACAACAAGAAGCACCACAAAGGAAAAAGTATTGATTGTCAAAAAAATGCCACATTCACAAAACAGGAATGACCATTTCCTGAATAGCTTTAGAATGATCTTGAGCTGTATCAGAACAAGTAAAAGAGCACATACACTAGTACCACTTGAATCACTACGGAACCTACGTGGACCACTGAGGGATTACACAGATATAACACCGCATGGCAATATAAAAGAAAGTACTATGACTTGAAAACTATTGAAAATGACATCCTATTGTCTAAAGAAAAAGGTTTGGAATCTGTATCCAGTCTACTCCTTAGTACTGAATTGGAGTTTCATTGAATTTTAGTATTCTGACAACACCCGCACAAAGTACCGGATCTGCTGTAATAGTACAGTACAGCTCCTATAGTGAATGTATCAGTGTGAATCCCCAGTGTTCATGCAGCTTGTGTTTGTGTTCAGAGCCTATAGTTTGTGTGGAAGTTCGACAGGAAACTTTCAGAGAAAAGCAGAGCCTGTCCTGACCCACAGAAGGAGGCCGGGACAGAAGAGGAGGAGGAGGAGGAAGAGGGGGTGGGCAGGAGTATTAGAGGACAGACACTTTCAGGGGGATATTAGAAAGTGCAATGCTTGGAACTCAGTGCTGCATTTTCAGTAGTAGAATAAGAAAGTATTAAACAGCTGTACTTAAGTATACATTTATGGTATCTATACTTTACTTACGGTAAGTACATTTTAAAGTAGGGATATCCAAAGTAGAGATATTTTCCTGATATGCATCTCACTGTACGATATTTATTGCAATATTTTGTAGAGGTTAAAATGTGAATATGCTACTTTTTTCCTCTTAAAATGCCTTGACAAGACTTTACCCAAAGAACTAAGATTTTAAAGTGCTTATGACATTAATTTCTTCATGTAGTCTGCACTGAAATAGAGCAAAGGATCATGGTCTATGTAGTTCCCTCTGATTTTTTTAGCTATTGCTGCACCATAACTATTAAATTAAGCAAAGACTTGTAAGAGACTTGTAAGAGACTTGTAAGAGACTTGTAAGAGACTTGTAAGAGACTTGTAAGAGACTTGTAAGAGACTTGTAAGAGACTTGTAAGAGACTTGTCATTCAATACTGTTATGACCCATGATATTACTGTGAGACCTTTGACAATACGATATCACAAATAAAAATGAATAGATAAAAAGTTGTATTAAATTGCTTCTGCTGGACAAAATTCAGCACACATTTGAAGCTTTATTAGATCAAAATCTGCGTGAAATACTACTACATTTTACTCTTTAAATACATTTTTAAACTGAGACTTTAATACTTTTACTTAAATAGATTTTTCATGTGATACTTTTACTTTTATTTGAGCATTTCTTTGCTCGGGTATCTGTAGTTTTAAGAAATAAATTTGAGTACTTGTGAAGTGACCTCAGTGTTTGTCAAAATACCAATTACTGAGATTCCTTTTATATATTACACGATATTACATTATATTTTGATCTATGTTACAATGTTGTTTCATCATCACAAACACACCTGGAGTTTTGTTTTGTTTCATTCAACAGGCCGGCTTCACACACTGTTCCACCTTGTGATGTCATGTGGTAACATAGGAAGTGCTCCACTGTGTTTTCAAGCTCCATACACCTTCTCTATGATGTGAATAATTTCAGCCCTGGACAATCTTTACTGAAAAAGGTAAAAGGGTAATTTAACTTGAAAATTACCACTACATGACATCACAAGGTTGACCAGAGCATTTTGAACTTTAGAGATGTAGACAGAATAAAGATGTGTGAATGAAACACACAACTCCGGGTATGTTTTTGATGAGGTAACAACATGGATGAAAGCACATGAGAGTCAATTATGTGTAATATAGGACCTTCAACATTTGAGAGAAGTCTACAAAAATACAGGGATAGATGGAGAGAGAGAGATACTTTATTGATCCTGAGGGAAAAATAAAAAAAACCTTGGCCTATCACAATAACAAAGTGTGACACATTGCTGAAGAAAATATGGAAAACATAATATTGAAACTAATTTGTGACACTAACACAATAATCCTAAAGCAAGAGTGAATTAATCTATAATGAGGCATAGAATTTCAACCTTCAGCTCAAATTGTTATTGTAGTGCAAAAAAAAACACAGTTCACCATTAGCACAAAGTTAAGTACCCGCAATAAATATTAATCCCGGAAATTATGGTTCCATCAATCATCAAGTCAATACAGGAATTATTGTGACAGATGTAATAAAACCTGAAACTGATAACAAGAACCGAAACCAATGAGTAAACAGGTTAGACTGAAAAGAGGATATGATGTTGTTATTTGCAGGGGATAATATGATGCTTTAATAATAGCCTTTTCACAAACAATCAAATCAACTGTTTTGATTGGAATGTTTTTTATTGCTTAATCTTGCAGATGAAAAAAAGACAAAAAAAGACTCAAAAAGACTTCAAACGTGCACTATGTCATTTTTTAGGTGTGTGGTCCAACACCTGCTCATCTCCATGGAAAGTGTTTGCTTTGCCAAGAAGGTTTTCAAGTATGACTTAAACTTTATTTGGATTTATTCAATTATATATATATATATATATATATATATTTTTTTTTTTTTTGCTTAAAACATGACTTTGGACAGACAGTAAAAGTGAAAAAATTATTTCACAGATCTCGCCTGTTAATTTGGTCTGGAGGTGCTATCAGCTTGTTTAACGCCATATTGTTGAGAATTTCAGACAACGTAATAAGATCTACATGGAGACAAGCATCTAATTCACAGGTGTCAAACATAAGGCCCGGGGGCCAGATCCGGCCCTCCAAGACCTTTAATCTGGCCCTCGGCTGATTTTCTACTAAAATATTTGAATTATATTTTCTATTAAAATCTTGTTAATTTTCTGTGGTGTTTATCACAGCAGCGTCTCCAGCGCCTCTGTACGTGGCCCCTCCCACCAGAGCAGCACAAATGAAGACTTGTCTCTTTCCAAACGCTCTTAAAGGACGATCGTTTTGACTGTTGATCGTGACACCCTCATCAACAAAATGTCCAAAATGAGAAAAGTGGAGCAGAGTGCAGGATTTTACAAGAAAAATGTACTTATTCCTATTTGCATACAAGTTAATGTTAAAACATTGTGTTGAAATTACATTTTTCAGGTTTCAAGTTTCAGGTTGTTCATAATATTATAATGTTTTATAAAAGAAAGAGTTAATCAATTAAAAAAGATTTCTGTAATAGATTTGCGTTTCTCTGCACAAATATTTGAACTTATTGTTATTTTTGGGGTTTATATGACATGAGTTTTCTGATCCGGCCCCTTTCGGATCAAAGTCGGTTGGATACGGCCCCCGGACCAAAATGAGTTTGACACCCTTGATCTAATTGATCATTTGCACTGACATCACACTTGGGGAGTTTGACATGCATCTCTATATCCAGAATGTTCAGCAGTTACCATGGAGACACAATGAGCACATTAGCAAACAGACAAAGAGTTTTAAGACAGTCTGAAAAAAACAAAAAAAACAAAACAAAATGAATTTAAAAGACTAATTTTCAGAAGCCTGTGATCAATATGAGCTCATGATCTTGTTTAAGAGGTT